ACGATGAGGCAACCACAAGCACTTCCACTGGTTCAAGAGGGAAAAATGAACAATATTACCGTGATTACTGAGCACGGAAGCGAGCGGAGCGAAAAAAGAGTCATTGAATAGAACTAGTGATCCTTCTACGACTGCTGATTCTTCCACAATTAACAATTCTATGTAGGGAAGATATTGGTTTTAAAGAGACTGCAAAATATCGGGTAAATCGGACAATTCTAAATAGGGAAGATATTGGTAGTAAAGTGGATGTAAGATATCGAGTGAATCGGACAATTCTATATAGGAAAGATATTGGTTGCAAAGTGGCTGTAAAATATCGAGTGAATCGGACAATTCTTTGTAGGGAAGATATTGGTTGTAAAATGGCTGTAAAATATTGAGTGAATCGGACAATTTTGTTTAGGGAAGATATTGGCTGTAAAGTGGCTGTAAAATATTGGGTGAATCGGACAATTCTAAATATAGAAGATATTGGTTGTAAAGTGGCTGTAAGATATCGAGTGAATCGGACAATTTTAAATATAGAAGATATTGGTTGTAAAGTGACTGTAAAATATCGGGTAAATCGGACAATTCTATCTAGGAAGGATATTGGTCGTAAAGTGACTGTAAAATATTGGGTGAATCGGACGATTCTTTGTAGGGAAAGTATAGGCAGTAAAATATTGGGTGAATCGGATAATTCTATGTAGGGAAGATATTGGTTGTAAAGTGGCTGTAAAATATCGATTAAATGGGACAATTCCCTATAAGGAAGATATTGGCAGAAAAGTGGCAGTAAAATTTCTGGTGAATCGGATAATTTTATATAGGGAAGATATTGATTGTAAAGTGGCTTTAAAATATATGTGATGAATTGGACAATTCTATATAGGGCTAAATATCGGAAAATAACGGCCTTTTGAAACCATACTGAGTTAATCGCGAATATTGGTAAATTGAGTGCCCAAGTTATTTTGTTGTTTGAGATTCAGTAAGCAATGAGCGTGCGACTACTGTGTAAGTAATCTTCTTCCCAACAGAAGAAAAGTTCTTTAGCTATTTTTAAAATTCCTGCCATGCTCCTGAAAAGAAAGCGCCTTTTGTTAATCACATTTTAATTACATTTTACTTACTTCCCCAAATTACTATTAAAATTAACATTCGATGTTATCATTGACGTCAAAGGGTATTGCGCTTTATTTCATTTTATTCTTAAAAAATTTGTTAACATTAGGAAACTTGTTTTTTAATTAGAGCTATGCACTAGAAAACAACACTCATGTTATCGTTAAAATATGTGATAAAAAACGCATTCGTCGGCAATTTAATTTTTATCAATGGCGAGTTCTAAACTAATATGAAAATTCCCTTCGTTTTTAGTTCATCTCGTTCGAACAGTTCGTAGTAGAATGTTCTAATGGTGGACAGCGACATTCCCCGTGCTTCGAACTATAAGTAAGCCAAATTTCAGCGCTCTCGGTCGGACAATTTAAGAGTCAATAATGGACAAACATTAATTTATACAGGGTGATTCTAAAAAGATGGGCAAAATTTTAGAAAATGATAGTACATACCCAAGCAAACAATTTTTTATCAAATAATGCATGGTCGAAAACAAAGCGCAAAGGTGCTGGTGCATTTGGGAAGTTGTTTGAAGCAAACGTGAAAGCTCCATTCCTGTTGCGAATTACTGCGCTGCGTTACTTATCGCCAAGCTTTCGGCCGCTGCAGGGAAAGTTAGTGTTTCAGAATGTTCGCCTATCTTTTCTTCGCCGTTGTACTGCGTGCATAGCCGCTGCCGGGCACTGTTTTGAACACTTATTGTAATCACATGCCATTAAATTTGCTTTTATAACTTAACTTCATCGTTCTTTGTGTGTTTTTGCGTCACATTAGAGCATAAACTTTGACGCCTTCTAGCGGTTTTGAATTTTGTTTTCGACCATGCATTCTTTGATAAAAATTGTTTGTTTGGGTGAGTACTATCACTTCCTAAAATTTTGCCCCTCTTTTTAGTATCACCCTGTATATATTTATATAGATAGAAGTAATATGATTGTTTGATAAATTAACCCAAATTTATTATCGTTTGGAACTACAGCAAACTTATGTTCCACGTTTTAATGTGATTATAAATAATTTATTAAACAGGATTGTAATTAAATTCTGTTTATAAAGTATGTTAACTTTATTCCACGGCTGGCAATTTATGTTTTTAAATAAATTTCATTTTTTTCTTTCTTTTTTTTAAAAAAGATGTATGCATGCATATTTCGATTGATTTTTTAGGTTAGGCATTGTTTTGACTTGATGAGCAAAAATTATGAAAAAAAAAAACCCCAGTACTATTTATTCCCACGTTTCAACGGCAATTCTGTTTACTGTTTTTAGTAAATAACTTAATCACAATGGCTGCGGCTTAAAAAGCTAACAATTCATACCAATCAGTCCGTAAAAACTAAGACTCTTAAAAATAACTCCCTAAGTACAAATATGGTTGCGATTCTTAATCGCAATCACTAAGTAATTCTCTAGGCAATCCATTGTCTGTCCACTTACAACTGACCGGTGAGGCAAGAATTTACCTGAATCCAAAAATGCTCGTGACAAATTACTTTTCTTGATAGATGTAGAGCGATTGGAAAAAAAAGAATGGAAGACCGATTGATTTTACGAACGAGATAAAAGCAAATCTGAAACAGGTTTATAAGTTGTCTGCATCTCATTACTAAGTCAAAGAATGAGCGACGGCACGGTTACAGAGATAATAAAATGGACGTTCGATATTTAGGGCTTCGATTAAAACAGATAATTAGACCTTCAACTCGTTGTCAAATTATCTTCCAATTGTATTTAACTTTCAGTTCTTCGTATTTATTATTCGTTTAGGTATTGAAGCAACGAAGCGGATGGTCATTTAATGAAGTGGTCATTTCTGAGTAATTAGAATTGTAATTGTGTTACATTAATTGCGAAAATTCCGTCCCGTGCGGTATTTAAGAAGCATGTAACGTTTTAATGATTTAATTGAAAATTAAAATTAAACAATGAAAATTACGTGAAAATTAAAAAAAAAATAAAGTTTCAGATACAGATTAGAAATAAATGTTTAGGAAGTATTTAACGTTGATAAAAATTACAGTAATGAGATTTGGATAGATATTGCAATTTCAATCCTTAAAAAGTATCTAACATTGTAAGAAAATTTAAACAATGGGTTTTAGATGCAAATTGCATGTTTAGTCTTAAAGAATTATATTAAAGAACATTACGAATTTTTTAATGAAAATTGGAACCAATTAAGTTCTAGATACATATTGCAAGTTTAATTTCTAAGAACTACAGAACGTTGTAACGAAAATTAAAACAATTGGATTCTGATCCAAATTACTAATATATTATTATCAATAAAATAGACATACAATCTAAAATAAAATGCACTTTTTTATGAGCGAAAATTCACTGATATTTTTTCAGAAAAAAAGATATTAAGTTAGATATGAGAGTATATTTTAATAATACAGTTTTCTTCAAATATAACTAATGTCATTGATGTAACTAATGTCAAATATAACTAATGTCACAGATGCTGTTATAGTATTAGAATCTAAGTTTACATGCTTGTAAAAACGTCCCGTTATTTTTATTTTACGCTGATTTTTAATGATGTTCTCCTCTTTAAATTTGTTTTCTATACTTTACTCAAATCAAATCATAGAGTATTATTATAAAGTTTTATAGAAATTCTGTTGTATGCTTCATNTTGAAAATTAAAATTAAACAATGAAAATTACGTGAAAATTAAAAAAAAAATAAAGTTTCAGATACAGATTAGAAATAAATGTTTAGGAAGTATTTAACGTTGATAAAAATTACAGTAATGAGATTTGGATAGATATTGCAATTTCAATCCTTAAAAAGTATCTAACATTGTAAGAAAATTTAAACAATGGGTTTTAGATGCAAATTGCATGTTCAGTCTTAAAGAATTATATTAAAGAACATTACAAATTTTTTAATGAAAATTAGAACTAATTAAGTTCTAGATACATATTGCAAGTTTAATTTCTAAGAACTATAGAATGTTGCAACGAAAATTAAAACAATTGGATTTTGATCCAAATTACTAATATATTTTTATCAATTAAATAGACATACAATCTAAAATAAAATGCACTTTTTTATGGGCGAAAATTCACTGATATTTTTTCAGAAAAAAAGATATTAAGTTAGATATGCGAGTATATTTTAATACTGTATTCTTCAAATATAGCTAATGTCACTAAATACCATGTTACTATACGAATTATACGAACTATTATAATTAGTATTTGTTTAATTACTGAGTCTGAGTTTTTTTTTCTGTTTGATTCAGTTTTTACTAGTTTCATTGAAACAAAAGAAGAGAATCATAAAAAAGAGATGCTGTTATATTAAAGTCTAAGATTACATGCTTGTAAAAACGTCCCGTTATATTTTTTTTCTGCTGATTTTTAATGATGTTCTCTTTAAATTTGTTTTCTATACTTTACTCAAATCAAATCACAGAGTATTATTATAAAGTTTTATAGAAATTCTGTTGTAAGTTTTATTCAATTTTTTTAAATTTCAATATCATTTTGAAATCATGAAAAAGCGAAGCTATCGGAAATTTTTCAATTTACTCTAATAAAAATTTTTCATAAAACTTTTATTTAAAGAAAAATGAATCTATAGTGTATTTATGAATAAGTGAGCGCTGTAAAGCTACTTAATCATAATTATTTTAAACAAAAAATGAAGCAGAGTCAAACAATGTGAAAGGTATACTTATTAGTTGGAAAAATTTCTCTTATTCGAAACAATTGTAACAATTTGTGAACTCCAAGTTTTATGATTTTTGAATAGTTATCATTTTTAAAAGTTATAATTTCAATTTTTAAAAATATTTTAGTCATTTTGAAAAAGTAATTTTTAAAACAAATTTTTAATGTATTTATACCATATATTGTATTAATAAGTCTGAAAGATTTTATAAAAATGCAATTTATTAAATCATGAAAGAATCTATTGCAGTGTAAATTACACATTTGTACCCTTCGATCTTTCAGAAATTTAGTAAGTCGAAATAGACGTCCATATTAAGGAAATGAAATTTGTTCAACAAATGAATTATTTGCCACAAAGTTAGAGGTTTCTTAACTATTTCACAATTTTTCACTGCGGTGTCAATAGAATAAACGAATGTCAATTGATAATTTTCCTTTTTTTTTCACGTCTTTATCAAAAATCAATTTATTTGTGAGAATGTCACTTAAATCCTAAACAAATTTAAAAATCATTTTCAATCGAATTTCAGGATTACAATTCAGAATCAACGCTCCAGTGAACGGAAATCGTATTTCATCATCCATCATCTCATCCAATCTGCCTGCAGTTTACGCTGTTTTGTACTGTTTTCACAATCAGCCGGTATGATGGGAAAAGAATAAACAAGGTAGAAAATTTTAAACTAATAAAAGTTTTCATCATCTAATGCCTTCTTTTATATCTTCATCGAAAATCACTTTATTTGAGTGGATGTCACCTAAATCTTTCATTAGTTTCAAAAACATTTTTAATCGTATTTCAGGATCACCACTTGGAATAGACGCGCCACCAAGCGGGACATTCATCGAACTACCCGCTTCAAAATTATGTGGTTTCACCCCGATGCCACCATTTCCTCTTTCAATATTTTTCACTAACCATTCTGGTATTTGCACTTTCATCAAACCATCTGCTCCAAAATTAGTTGGTTTTTGTTCTCTTCCGCCATTTCCTTTTGCAATTTCTTTCACCAACCATTCTGGATGTTTAGACACCGCACCTTGAAATTGCATTTTGTCACCATAGAAACCAGAAAATGGCCGCAAGTCGTTATTGTACATCAAAAACTGTGGCATTCCAGCCAATTTTGGATCTGGGATTGGTTTTTGAGGTGGGAACACGAACTGTGGAGGCAAAACGAGACTCTCATAAACGGTTGATGGTGCAGCGAGATGGAATGATGGACTAGAACTCTGCGCATATATTTTGTTGAACCTCTCTAAGTGATTCAGGTTAATTTGCCTATTTTGGGAATTTATCATGCCTCGTGCCCGACGAGGCTGTTGGATTCGAACGTGACTCATAGAACGTCCATCCCGGAAGGGAAGAGTCACCAATGTCTTGGCTGCTGTTCGCCAGCTGAGACCAATGTTGTAAAGTTGGTCCAGCGCTGTCCAGAAGCGAATAAGACTGCTGGGTTCCCATACCACTTGTAATACAGTGTCAATTAGACTAGGTCTGTCTTCATTGATGATTAGCGATGATTGTCCATGGGATATATGTGTCCATGTAGTTATAAGGATGAATAGAACGCAGAAGATGTGTTGCATTATCAAAAAACCTAAAAAAAAGGAAAAACTATTACTATGGATTCACTATTTTTTACTATTTATTATTTAATTTAACAGCGCTAGATCAAAGTGATTGTTAGAAGAAATCTGAAAGATAGAAGCAAATATATTGCTATAGATTTACTCCATTTATTGACTATATACGAATTTTTTTTATTATATAGTTTAATAGTGTGCTCGAAATTTTATGACTTTAAAGCAATACGAATATTACATAATTTTAAATGGTGTAATTGCAAATGACAATTAGTATTTGATTAATAAAAAATTTAAAAAAAATTCGACTTTTTAATTTTATTTTTTGTTTAGAAACTGTTAATTAGGTTGTTAGAAATACTAGTAACATAGATTTTAGCAAGTTTCAGGTACACTTTTATTGAACTGAATCTTAATTTTTAATCAAATTCGTTATGAGATTTTTTTTCTAAAGACACCTTACAAGAATATAAAAATAGGTTCAACATTGAACCTTAATATCGGTGTCTTGAACCATTGGATGTTTACTGTAATCTTAATACGGAGTTTAAAACCGTTTTTCAGCTCAAGTTGAATCATAGTATCCTGAAATCAAATTTTAGAAATATAAAATAGAAGTACAATCTACTAAATTTGATTTTAGATTGACTTTGATTTTTTTCTTCTTAAATTCAATTTGTGACAAATAAAGATTTCGATTTTAAATGCTTTGTATCTAATATTTTGTCTTTTGATCCCTTTAAAACTCGTATCTTTAAAAGTATCTTATAACTGACTGACTAAAATTCATTAATTAATTTTTATTAACGATGCTTTGCTTTAAAGTGAGAAATGGTTATGCTGCCTTAAGAAATCAGTTTGTTTAATTGTGTTAATAAAAGCGCAAAAGTGTTTTTTAAATTAAAAAATATTAAATTTTCGATGTTTACCACAACTTTACACGCAATCATTTGAAAACAATAATTCAAATGAAATAAGAGACAAAATTAATGCGTAGAAAATCGTTCAAGATAATTTTTTTTATTCGAAAAAGAAAAGAAAATATTTCCTAGACGAGAAAAACAAATCATAATGTATTAGGTGCTCGAATTTATTTATTATGAATTTCCTAAGCAGCATTTCCTACAAAATTTACACTTCTGGAATCACATTTCATTTTTATGACGATTTTACGTTCTATTAAGCAAAGAATAAAATCAATTCTTTCATGCTCACCACTTTCCGCATTTACACGAATTAAAATCAGAAATTAACATCCATATTACAGACCATTAAACTCTCATGCACACTGATTTAATAAAAATTCTGAACGGTGTCATATTATTTCGGTCATTCGACAAAAATAAGATCGAAGATTTATCATTATTTTTCATTCTACGAAAAAAAAAAAAGCAGACGATTATTCATTATGTTTTGCTACCAGAGAGGCAGACGATCGAGGAAAACCTGAAACCTCTGTGCTCTTGGAAAACGAGCATAAAATATTAAAATCAGAAGTTAATCAGTTTTACGGGTCAATGTTTAAGTCGTGATTTCATGTTAAAGTTGCGGCTAAAGTTACGGTTGTGTGACGAATATTTAAGAATGAAAAACTATATCTTTTCAGTTGTTTGTTATTTGTATTTAATTGCTCGCCTCAAAAGTTTTGAAAAGATGCATGTTTACATTGTGTGGGACACTTTTTTTTTATACTGTCAAGTAAAAATAAAAAGAGATAGTAAAATTCAAAAGATAAAATTTCAGAGAAAACAACTCTAGAATTACGAACGTGTAACGGAATTGTAAATTGTAAGTGGTGCATAAAGTGAGATGAACAATTATGAAGCATTTTACAATGTTATTATGTTTGAAAACAGTTGGAGGACGAGTTTGTGTAAAAGGAATAGAAAATTGCGTGCGTTTATTTAAAAAAGATTTCTTTTCGTCATGAATGTGTAAAATTAAAATGAATATTTTTGCTCTCAGGCGAGTAATATAACCGTTGTATTCATTCAATTAGTTAAAAATTTTTAAAGATAATTCTTCTTTCTATCTTAATTGTTTAAATAATTGAAAACGAGATAAAATATCATGTAGAATTTCAAAAGTTGAATATAGAAAAAAAAGTTATTTTACTTCATTACAAATATTTGGTGTATAAAACGCACCAAAGAGTACACCGTTCAAAAAGAAAGGGTTAATTGTTAAAAAAATTGCTGCTGCTATTTTATATACTGTACAAAATACATAAAAATTAGCATCGTCGGCGACATATTTGAATATTACAGATTTTTATTATTCTTATTTATTTGCTAACCGTCCAAGCGAACTAGCTGGCTGTCGAAGCTGTAATTTTACTTATATATACGAACTGTTGAAAGTTATTTGCAGTTGTTAATGAATTTCAACTGTCAATTCGGAAGTTCAATTATAAGTAGATAATATTAAGAAAAGTTTTATGGATAAAAAAATTGAGCTAATAACCGATACTCTTTGCTGTAGAAGTCATTAATTGAAAGTTTCGTTGATACCGTTAGTATCGTAGTATTGATACTGCATAGTTAATATTGATACTGTATTGTTAGTATTGATACAGTATAAGGACAACGACATTTAGTTGCAAGCTGCATTTTTACCTCAAAAATTATGAACAAAATCCGTTCTTAAGGCAACAAGAAATCTGAATTTATGTAACGCGATAAATTAATTGCTCAAAAATAAATTAAGATGACATTTTCTTCAATATTTATCTATATAATAATTGCTTTGCGAACCAATTATGTCCGCTATTAAAATAATTAACAAACTAAATATTTTTTTACAGCAGGTAATGACAGAGTCATAATTTCCTACTTGACATGAAAATTGTCATCTAGAAAAAAAAATGAGTTGGGAAAAATTAGGTATAAAAAAGGTTGCATTTTAAACTGCTTTTCTGCGACCAGCTTGGTCACTTTTTAAAATTATCTTGAACAACATTTAAGCTTTAACGAAGCGGAATGCACTGTACAACTATACTTAAATATTCGATTTATTCAACTCCTCCTTAACGAAGCGGAATGCACAGTACAACTGTACTTAAATATTCGAATTCTTCAACTCCTCTTTAACGAAACGGAATGCACAGTACAACTGTACTTAAATATTCGAATTCTTCAACTCCTCCTGCATATATAGATACAAGTAACATCTAAAATGATAATTATATGCTGCCTGTAAAAAAGTGCGCACTTATCTTTTGTAAATTTTTTTACCTGTGCTGCATTATATGCAACGCGTCTCTACGTAAGGTGAAAATTGTTTCGGTTTAGTACCATAGAGTTATAAATAAGACCTATTTATTACTCTATGTTTAGACCTATTTATTACATAGACCTATTTATTACTCTATGTTTAGTACCTCTTCTGTTATGCTTTCGTGTCCAGTTTATATTTTAGGACCATAATATCAGAGATTAGTTCCAATTTCAATTTTAATCCATCAAATTTTAATGTGCAGTCGAATTTAATACTCTTTTTGTGTAATGATGATTACATTATAATTTTCATTAAACATATATTAAGAAAGAGGACTAATTAAATTAAATTATTTACAAAATGTTCATAGATCAGAAGCTCTTGGAGACAAGTTTAAAACTTTTGTCATTTTCAAAAGACAAGTGCTCACTTTTTTCTCATGTAGCCTATAGTTATTATTTTATATGCTTAGATATTAATGTATGCAATTGCTCGAAAATCGAAAAAAGACAGGCTCTATCTTTAAGAAGTGGTATGACAGTATAGCACCGTTTGTGTTTAAAATTTTTGCAGTGATCTTAAAAAGGATCAAAGATAAATTTAAACAATTACTTTGTAACTAAATAAATATGTTCTATGTAAATAGTTTTTAAGCTTCTAAAATGCAAAATTATTCTAAATAAGCACTTAACACTTAACTATTGATTTAACATACTTCAGTGTTTCCCAAAGTGTGGTACGCGTACCCCCAGGGATGCGGGAATATTTTAACAGGGGTACGCGTTCCTATGCGAAATATTTTGCAACAAACAAAAATTTCACAAAATTTTATTTAAAAACAAAGCTAGCCATGAAAATTTACGATTACGTATTTTTCTATTGGTTATTTTTTTACAGAGTTAAATTCAATAATTAGTGGCGTCAACAACCAGTTGTGATTTTTAACTTAAGTGCAATTTTTTTATCACAGCAAAAACAATATCATTATTCTCACTGATGCAAATAAACTTATTAACAAAACTTTGTAGTTAAAAAGAAAAATAAACATATTTTTAGAAAAATACATAAATTTTTTTCATTAGTGGTACACAGCGCAGCGAAAAATTTAGAAAGAGTACACAAAAAAGTCATAAGTTTGGGAAACACTGACCTATTTGAACAATCACTTAAGGCAACCAAACAAAATGAATTTAAAAAACTAAATCGGTTAAACATCTTAACGTATAACTAATTTTTTTAAATCTACTTAAATTATTCAAGACAACCTAACAAAATAAATAGTAACCATATATTATTGCCATTAGATAGAAAAATACACGAGTTTACGGTATGTACATAAACTAGATTTTATAAAAGAAATATATATATAGATTAACCGACTCCGGAGAACAGCTGGTCCGCCTTTTTAATTAAGAAAGAATTTTAGGTTCTGAAATCGTACCATTAAATATCAATAAACTTGTATTGTTTAAGTGAGAGTGGATTTAATTTCTGTTTTCTTACAAGTTCGTTATCATGGTAAATTTGTTATTAAAATGATTAGTACAACATATGCTAGCATTAAAAAAGAAAGAGAAAGTATTCTAATTATCTCAATATCGAATTTGATGGATTATAAATTAAATTAGCAGCTTAATCAAAATTAAGCTGCGCTCTTATTTGCTTTTAATTATGAAAGTCGATGAATTTCAATTGTAAGGGTTTTTCGCCTAAACGAAACGAACTTTTTAACTGTTATAAACTTCTTTAAGTCATACGCAGGTCTAAAAAAATAAAAATACATTTTAAAGCAAAAAAT